GCCTCATACGCCACGAACGCCGCGCTCTCGGCCAGCGAGACCACGCTCCAGAGCGCCCTCGACGCAATCCTCGCGGAGCTCGCAGCCCTGCAGCTTTCCGGCAGCGGCGGAGTTGTTAACGCGCCGGCCTGGGCGGGCTTCACGACTTGGGAGCTCGTTCGCGGAAGTAACGTCGTTCGCAACCTGCATTTCATGGCTCCTCTCTCTGCTGCGCTTGCCAACGGCGACGACACGCTGAGCATCACGGCAGACTGCTACTCCACGGCGGGCACTGACGCCGCCATAACAGCAGCCCTTGCTGGCCTACTACACCTCGGCGCAGGTAGACGCGCTGTTGGGAGACTACCGCACAGGGGCAGCGCAGGACGCGGAGACGACCAGCGCCATCACAGCAGCGCTGCTGGCCTACTACACCTCGGCGCAGGTAGACGCGCTGTTGGGAGACTACCGCACGGCAAGCGCGCAGGACACGCAGACGCAGGCCGCCATCGCGGGCGCGCTGCTGGCCTACCGGACGGGCCCGGACCAGGACGTGTTCACAACCAACCCAAATCACCTCGGCGCTGGTGGCGTACCCCGCACAGCGCAGACCAGGACACGGCGACGGCCTCGAGCACGCCGCCGCGCTGCTCAGCTACTAACACCATCGCGCAATAGTAGTCGGGCTCCTCGCCGGCAAGCTCGGAGTCGCGGAGGCAGCCTCGGCGCTGCAGTTAGCAGTGCGCTTTCCGACGACGGGCGGGGCCGACGAGGTGGTGGCCGCCATAGGAGAGCAGATCCTGGCCCCACGGACGTCTCGCTGTCAAACTGGACGGTTCGCCCCAGCAGCGGCTGCAGGTGGTCTTGGCCACGCACACCGCGGGCGCAGTGAGCGTGGACGGCTACACCCTGACCCTGGCGGTGAACCCGTGGAACATCGTGCGCACCTACAACTTGACCCGGGCCGAGAGCTCCTCTTCGCCTGCCGCTACCGGCTCGGCACGGCCTCCAACTTCGTGGTGTACATGTCCGAGGCAGACAACGTCTACGACCCCTTGTACGGCAGCTTCGTGGGCGACCAGGGTGCCTGGAGCACTGCCAAGATGCACTTCACAGTGCCTCCGAACGGGGTGGCGAAGCTGCACTTCGGGGCGCACTTCCAGGCGCCGGACATGGCTTCCTAACACAGGCCCACCTTGTCCAAGTGTACACACGTTGCCACCTTGGATCCTCAGGTTTGGTGATGGCATCATCCTGGCTTGGTGCTCAGTCTTGCCTGGGCTGAGACCATGCTCGAACTGCTCGAACATATCAGGCTGAGTGGCAACTGAGTGCAGGGCGCAGGTTCCAACCCAAGGTTTCCAGCCCTGACACCTTGAACTTGATATCTTCAGTTTTCGATGGCTTCCTAGCACGGCACAGGCCCACCCATGTCCAAGTGCACACACATTGCCACCTTGGATCCTCAGGCTTGATGATGATATCATCCTGGCCTGGTGCTCAGTCTTGTCTGGGCTGAGGCCATGCTTGAACATATCAGGCTGAGTGGCAAGTGAGTGCAGGGCTCAGGTTCCCACCCAAGGTTTCCAGCCCTGACACCTTGAACTTGATATCTTCAGTTTTCGATGGCTTCCTAGCACAGCACAGGCCCACCCATGTCCAAGTGCACACACATTGCCACCTTGGATCCTCAGGCTTGATGATGATATCATCCTGGCCTGGTGCTCAGTCTTGCCTGGGCTGAGACCATGCTTGAACTGCTCGAACATATCAGGCTGAGTGGCAACTGAGTGCAGGGCGCAGGTTCCAACCCAAGGTTTCCAGCCCTGACACCTTGAACTTGATATCTTCAGTTTTCGATGGCTTCCTAGCACACATTGCCACCTTGGATCCTCAGGCTTGATGATGATATCATCCTGGCCTGGTGCTCAGTCTTGTCTGGGCTGAGACCATGCTTGAACATATCAGGCTGAGTGGCAAGTGAGTGCAGGGCTCAGGCTCCAACCTAAGGTTTCCAGCCCTGACACCTTGAACTTATGAACTGGGTATCCTCAGGTTTGATGGCAGCCAGGCAAGTGACTCAGACCTACTGCAGGACAATGCCTTCTTTTCTGAGGGCTGCGCTTGGAACTGGAAACGCTTTCTGCAGACCTTGAGCCACCTGAAGCTGTCTGCCTATGACATGGCCTGCTGCCCAGACTTGTCTACACTGTCATTTCTGAACATGACAGGTGACAGGTCCAAAGGCATCTTTCCCTGACAACTTGATGTCCTCGGTCAGGCAGCTTGCCAGCAAATGCCTTACACTTGCCCTTGTCAAATTCCACACTCATTGTCACCTTGCATTCACAGGTCTGATGGTAGCAGGACAAATGACTCAGATCCATTTGCCTTCATGCGCAGCACAATGGCCTTGTTTGGCTCAGGTTGTCACTCCAGCCTTAAAGCTCAGAGCCAGCCAGGGTCTCAGCATAGTCTTGCGCTGCCTCAGCCTTTGCACAGGTGGCTTATTGTTCATACGTTCTCTTACAGTTCATGTCTTGAAGGCATTCATGTAGGGTCCACTCCCTAGACGTTGCTTGGTTTGCCTTTGAACATGTGTTGATGAAAACATGAACCCCTTGCAATCTGTCTGAGATTGAGTGACATGACTGCTCTCGCAAAACTCAGGGGTGGTTTGCTTTGCCCACCGTCCCCTCCAGGCTACACCAAATTGGTCAATGGGTTCAACCATGCCAGGCTTACCTGTTGCCTGCTGCTTTGTGTACGCTGTTTGCACCCCCAGTTGAAAAGCCTCAGTTACACCCTACCACTGTGTTTGTGGCTCAGTGGAAGGCTGCAGTGTGAGTGTCACAATAGGCCAAGTAAATAGTAGGAGCTGGTGCCACCATGGTGTCAAACTCCATCCACGATGGTGTCATGGCTGCAGTTCTTGGAGGGGTTAAGCACCCCCATGCTACTCCTTGCAGCTCAAGCAGCTTGCCCAACAAGAGGCTGCCTGGCAAGCCAGTAGCTTCTTGTTGCATGCAAGGGCTTAATGGGGCCTGCATTGTTGAAGAGAAGCTGACTGAGGGTATTTGTAGGGTATCCCCAGGGCATCTCATGGAATCACTGCCACCCACCATGTGCAACTTTGCATCTAAGGCTTCGCTTGCGCCACCTTGCGCCTGAGGAGGAGGGTCCATTCTCTGGTGGAGAAGAAGATCATGGAGAACTGCAGACACCTGTCAGGCCCCAGAATATGCTGAGCTTGGCTCTAGATGAGCCGACGCCCACACCACCTGCAGATCACAGGGGGTCAGGAGCCATTATGAAACATATGATTATCCTGAGAGTAGAAAGTTTGAGGTTGTGCATGTTTCAGCCAAGTTCTCCCTGTCAGGACTGATGAACATGATGATCGCTGAACATGCGCTGCTATCACAGCATAAGATCGACTTCGACACCATGCTAGATGATTCACAGGAGCGACAGGACGAGGACATGCTCAATGCTTTGGAGTTGCAGGCCCCAGCACTGCCCAAAGCTGCGCAAGTCCAACAGGTCCCAGTCCTGCCCAAAGCCGCACAGGAGTTGCCTGAGCATGGAGTGTCAGAAGCTTTTCCAGTGGAGCAGCCAGAAGCTTCGCCTGAGGAGGCACTGCACAAAGCTGCACAGGAGTTGCAGGTCCTTCCCAAAGCTGCGCACGAGCTGCATGAGCATGGAGCGCCAGAAGCTTCGCCAGTGGAGCAGCCAGAAGCTTCGCCTGAGGAGGAGCTGCCCAAATCTGCACTGGAGTTGCAGGTCCTTCCCAAAGCTGCACACGAGCTGCATGAGCATGGAGCGCCAGAAGCTTCGCCAGTGGAGCAGCCAGAAGCTTTGCCTGTGGAGGAGCTGCCCAAATCTGCACTGGAGTTGCAGGTCCCAGCGCTGCCCAAAGCTGCACATGATCTGCGTGAGGATGGAGTGCCAGAAGCTTCGCCAGTGGAGCAGCCAGAAGCTTTGCCTGTGGAGGAGCTGCCCAAATCTGCACTGGAGTTGCAGGTCCCAGCGCTGCCCAAAGCTGCACATGAGCTGCGTGAGGATGGAGTGCCAGAAGCCTCACCAGTGGAGCAGCCAGAAGCCTCGCCTGTGGAGGAGCTGCCCAAAGCTGCGGTGGAGTTGCAGGCCCCAGCACTGCCTGAAGCTGCACAGGAGCCGCCTGAGCATGGAATGCCAGAAGCTTTGCCAGTGGAGCAGCCAGAAGCATTGCCTTTGCCCAAAGCTGCACCGGAGTTGCAGGCCCCAGCGGGGGCAGAGGAGTTAGAAGACCGCCCATCAAGTTTCATTCTTCGTGAAAGAGCGGGCAGGCAAATGTTGGAGAACACAGACATTGCAGCCCTCAAGATCAGCCCTGGCTTCCCGCAAGTGTGCACACCTCAGTCATTGACCAGTTGACTGCCAGCACTTGCTTTACGCTAGCCCTGCAGCTTCCCAACTTGCTTTGATCCACTGTTTCAGTCCTGTCAGGTCCTTCACAGTTTACGCAAGTGACAAGCGCAAGCCCATCACAGTGCGCCTGTATGGCTGTTTCTATCTGCCCAGCAAGCTGCTGGCTGGGAAGTCTGACTGGGAGTCACATGTGAGGCATGATCTGGTTGCTGTTGTTAGGCATGCTCTGGCTGAATCTGTTGTCACTGTTGTTAGCCAGCCATGCGAGCATCAAATTATCTTGGCCAAGCCTTACCAAGCCTTTACCAGGCTGGCCACAGTCAGCCTCAAAATGAGCCAGCCGCCAGATCATGCCTAACACCATGTGCGTGTTAGGCAGGGGAATAGCATGGCTGAAGACAGCGATGCGCATGCATAGGGGTGATGAGGCAAAACAGCGTGTGGTCATAGCCTGCCACACACAGCGCATGTCTTTTTTCTACATCACAATGCTTGCCATTAGCAGCTTGCGTGTGCCTGAGGCTAACTTGTCGTGGCTTTGTCAGAGCTGCCAGGCACTCAGCAGCAGACTTGCAGGCTGTTGGCCAGAATGTTGCCAGTCTGTGCCAGTCATGCTGTTGCTTGCTTTCTAAGGCTGACGCTGACTGCCAAGAGCTGAGACTTGACATGGTTTGGCAGCATGGTTACATCCAATATATCCTTGGCAGATTGCTAGTGCAGCGCAATTAGTGGCTCTAATCTCCACTGACATGGTAGACACTGACACAGTTGCGCCAATACAAGAAAACAGGTATGTTGCCAACTTGCCTCACCGAGTCAGTTTGCCCCAGTGCCCAAAAAGAAGGTTTGTTGCCAAGTGGTTCCAGCAATGGCAGAAGAAAGGTCCTGCTCCACAAGCAGTGTGTCTAATTCAGAAGATGCACCTGCCAGAGGTGCACCACTCTGCCACAGGCAGAGGTGGCAGGGGCCGCCCTGCCAGAGGCAAAGGCGGCAGGGCTCCTTCTGCCAGAGGTGGCAGCTCTGCAAGAGGTGGCAAAGCACAATCTGCTCAAGCTCAATGTGCCAAGAACTCTGTCGGAGAGGAGGCGTCAGCAAGCACTTCATCTGTATCAGGCAGTGAATCAGCTGAAGCTTCCCGGATTCGCAAGGCTGAGCAGGCCTGGGGAAGCCACAAGCAGGCCAAGAAAGCAAAGAAGGTGGAAGACATTGGGGACACAGCTATGTTCAGTCCCAAGAAGCAGCAGGTCGAGAAAGACTGCTCTTTGATGAGTTTTGTGCGTGAGGCTGTGGCTAAGCTGACTCAGGAAGATCGGAGAAGCCTGAACCAGATGGCGATCGGCTATGCGGAGCTCATGGCAGGCATTGGAACAGGCACCCTTGCCATGGAGTGCATCGTGAGGGCCCTTGCAACTGAGGAGGTTTACATGCAGGCAAAGCCTGCCTTCTTCTCTGAGAGCTGCTCTTGGAAGCGGCGTCGGCTTCTGCAGACCTTGAGCCACTTGAAGCTGTCTGCCTATGACATGTTTGGCTCCACTTCAGATTTGAAGGCGCTGGCCACTGACTTGGTGATCGTCTCCATCGAGTGCGATGACATCAGCATGAGCAGCACAACGCAGAAGAGTGTCCTGGACACCTCTGGCAGGTCTGGCCAGTCCCTGACCCAGTTCTTTGCCTACTTGACTTCACTGGAGCAAAGCAAGCGGGCTGCAGTGATCATTTTTGAGTGCGTGGCAGCTTTGAAGTACAACAAGCAGTTTGAGACTGGCACTGACAAAGTTGCTGAGCACATGTCAGAGTTTGGATATTTCACTTCATTCGCCACGCTGGACAGTTCAGACTATGGTTTGCCTCAAAGCCGCAAACGATGCTATGGTATCAGCCTGAAGTTGGATTCTTTTGGCCCGAGAGGCAAGGAACAGGGCATGCATGCAATACAGAGGGCTTGGGACCTCATCGGCCGGCTTCAAACAACATGTGAGTCCTTGGATCACTTGTGGAACAGATGCCAGGAAGGCTATCAAGCTGCTGGACACAAGGCTCCAGGTAGGAGACAGGATCAGGCACGGAAGGGAAAATGGCCTGGCCTGCATGACCGGTTTGTCAATGCCAAGAATCTTACGCAGGCTGACCTGGCACGTGCACAGTTGCTGTGGGCAGAACAACAGTTTCAGGGCCTGCGCCTCTCACTTCGGGAAAAAGAAGCCCTCAAGTTGTCCCTCGCATCTCTGCGCAAGACACTGGATGCTGACATCCCAATGGACAGGCTACTGGTTGTGAACTCTGGAGATTCACTTGATCGCATGAGGTGGGCTTGCAACATCCACCACTGCTTGTTACCAGCAAAATCCTACACCTATCTCAACAATTCTGGCGCAAGCACCAACCAGAACCCCATTTTTTGGTTTGGTCTCCAGGGCTTGGCTCAGCGTGAGCTGGCCTTAGCTGGTTTGCCTGGTGAGCTCACCCTTCGCCAAGTTCAAGACTTGGCAGGCAATGCCTTTAGTGCCAATGTCATCGCAGCTATGCTTCTAGGCACTTTGTGCACACTGTTCAAAGACCATGGAAGGCAGTAATGTTGGCTGAGGCAATCATGTTTGCAATCCCATGGCTGACATTTAATCATCTGAAGTGGGCCCCTCAAACCATGAGGTTCATGTTAGGACCCTCATGAGAGTGCCATGGGCTGCATCACAAGCATCCTCAAAACCATTCATCAGCATTCTGCCCTGCTTCGGTCTTTGGCATTGTTTCACAGAAGCAGTAGGCTGCCAGCTCCTCTGATATTTTTGAATTCATGCCCCCTCCCATCAACGATCAAGGAGAATTCAATGTGCAGATGGGCAAGACTGGCTGTTACTGCTTCGCATTGCCTAGGTTGATTGGCAGCTAGGTATTAGCAGAAGGAGGCAATCAGTGCCAACTTCACCGCAGCAATGCTATCAGGCACTCCAGGCGCACTTTCTTAGAGGCTCTGCAAGGCAGTTATAATGGCTGAAGCATTCATGTTTGCAATCACAAGGCTGACATTCAATTATCTGAATCAGGCCCCTTAAGCCTTTGGGAGGATCATAGACCTTTTGGCAGATTCCAGTGCCAGCCATCAACTTTCTGCCTCCCTTAAGGTCCTCTGCACAGTTTCACAGACATGGTGAGCTGTTCCCCAGCAAGCCATTCTGAGTTGCTTCGCATTGCCTGGGTTGATCGGCAGCTAGGCATTAGCAGAAGGAGGCAATCAGTGCCAACTTCACCGCAGCAATGCTTTCAGGCACTTCAGGCACACTTTGAAAGGGGCTCTGCAAGGCAGTTATAATGGCTGAAGCATTCATGTTTGCAATCACAAGGCTGACATTCAATTATCTGAATCAGGCCCCTTAAACCTTTGGAGGATCATAGACTTTTTGGCAGATTCCAGTGCCAGCCATCAACTTTCTGCCTCTCATTCACTGCCTGAGGCATGGGCACACAGCGGTGCACTGCCATCCAATCCATCATGCGGAAGATCACACCTGAAGCATGGAAGACCCTGCAGCTGCACACAGCTTTTGCACATGGTCAGCGAGGCGCAGGGTGGCAGCTTTGAAGTGAAGCCTTTACTTACTGGATTTGTGTCCTGGAGAAGGAAACATGCATGACAGAGCCCTGAGGCAGCGCTATCAGTGACTCAGTGCTGGCATGGAAACACTTTTGGCCTGGGTCAGTGCCGCCACCTGGCTCCACGCCAACGGAACAGCAAGAGCTTTGTGCCAGGAGTGCCCCTCAGCAGCATATGCACATGCAGTTTGCTTGACTTTACTTTGATGTTTCTTGCAAAAGCTTAGACCTTTACTGGGAGCTGAAGTGCAGCCTAGTTTGCAAGCAAAGGGGCCAGTGTCATTTCAGGCTGCAGAATTGGCCTACAAGCTTTGCCCGAAGAATGCGAAAGTGGGACAGACTGACTATCGATCGCCATTGAGTGCGACAGAATTCAACTTGTTGGTGCGGAAGATGGTGGCAACCTTCGAGGGTGACGTGCAAAGCTTGGGGGAGGATATGCCCCGGGCAGCGCTGCTTGCCATGCAACACATTGTTTCTGCCATCCTGCAACATTCCAAGCTGCGTTGCTGCCCAGGTTCAAGCCCACTGTGGAGAAGGTGGCTGTGTACCGCCAGGTGATCACCTTCTGGAACCGCACCATGCGGGACACTATGACTGACTTGGATGACGCTTCAGCCAGAGAAGTGAGGTTGGCCGTTGAGGAGGGGACAGCCTTTGATGAACAGGCCAGGCAAGCTTCAGTGCAGAATGATCCCTTATAATGAGCCTTGTTCAGATTGAGCTGTTGCAGGTGCTCAAGGTCCTGGCGGGATTCCCAGTTCACTTTCATGCTGGAATGATTGGGGACCTCCGTGCAGATGGTGCAAGCAACTCGAATGAGGAGGCAGCGCTTGAGCAGGTGGAGGCAGATGCTTGGAAAGCCCGGCTCATGAGCCTGGAAGCTCACCTGAAGAAGGACCTGGCCTTGCTTGCCCGGGCATCACAGGGATATGAGATTCTCCAGAACCAGCTCCTTGCCCAGCTGATTTCTGTTCTGTGTTGACCCTTCGATGTTGCAACGTGACACCCATCATCTAAGGCTGGAGTGGATGCACCACCAGAAGCGCCTCTCCATGGTCTCTATGGCAAAGAACCTGGTGGAGGAGTACATGTCCTGGTTTGTGAGGACACTGTCAGTGAAGTCATTCACTGATATTCCTGGTGAGTTTTTCGCATCAGTGCCCCAGTTGAATATATACTTGCATCATGATCATGTTTCTTCAGGATGTGAACATTCTGAGGCCAAAGCTCCATCGCCAGCTTTGCCACCTGGCTCTGGCAATGCGTTCTTGCCTGAAGTCAACCCACCTCCCAAGCATTTGGTTCTGGTGCGCCTGGATCTGAACTGCCCAAACGTACCTGACTGAGTTGCTATTTTGATACAACCATGGCAGTGTGTCTTGCTCAATGGACTCCAGCATGGCTCCCAGGCACGGAACTCTTTGGTCCTGGATAAGCAGCCTAGCCTAGAATTTGGCTTCTGTCTGCTGTTCATACATGTAATTTCATGGTACCATATTCAATATGTGTGGCAAGGTATGCACCCGTGCTGGCATCCATCAGCAAGATAGCTGGCCCGGACAACTTTCTGGCAGTCTGTGTGCTTGCCAGCAGGGGCAAGGAGGACTCTGCTGGCGACCCTGTGGAAGACGAGCACATGCTGAGCAAAAAGATGATGAGTCAGGGATTTGGCGCACATGCTCGGGTGTTCCAGGACAGCTTCTGGCAATTGCGTTGCTGTTGTGCAAGTTTGTTAGGGGCATGCACACCCCTGTCGTGCAATGCAGAAACACAACGAGTGCCAGCTGCTCACAGGAGATCACTTTCGCAGATGAGCAGTCCACCATCCTGCAGCGGGACGCATTCGTGGCATACAAGTTCTGGAGCCAGCTTCTTGGCTGCTTTTTAGGCTGCAACCTATATCAACTTGACACTTCAATGAAACTGATAGGTTTGTTTTTTGGCGGATTTACCAGTCCCCAATTGGAATATTTAGGTTAGGGAACCCATTGTAATGCCATCGCAGTGTCTGTCTTTCGGATTAGCTTGGGAAACTGCTACTTCTATAGCTACTGCTACACACACATAAATAAGTATATATAATATATATGTATATCCACTCAGGCATGACACGCTGCGAGCGGCGTTTACCCAGAACGTCTGGATGCAGAGCCAGCTTGCCAAGACTGGCAAGGTTCCTGCTGCAGCGGCACCCCCTGACTCTGAGTTGCACCAGGTGCAGCCACATGCTGAGGACTCTGAGACACGGGAGCGTTTGAGGGTGATAGCCGCAACAAGGGCATCCCAGCGTGGGGTTGACTCCAACGAGCAGATGCTGCTGGCCCTGCTTTCAGGTCTGCCCCTCAACAAGGCAGATGTAGTGGATATCTTGGATTTGCATGCCTACGCCGGCGACTTGGGGATGGCAACGGTGAGGTTGAGGACAGCCGGGCGGCTCAGTTGCAGAGTCCAGTACCACATCGTCACAGTGGAGGGCATTCGAACTGGCGTCGACTCGACGTATGCTTTGAAGAGGACATAGTCAGAAGCAAACGTCGACAGTGATGTTGAGTCCACACGGGTGACACCTAGGAATTGCAGTTTGCCAGTCAGGGGGCACAGTTGCACTGATTGGCTAAGCATTGCACCTGCAGGATTGCGCAGCACTGTGCGACAAAGTGGCTTGGCAAGTCGATGCAGCTGTATTCCCATTGCAGCTCTACACCTGGAGCACTGAAGCCAGTCACCCCACAATGCGAAGGAGAGCTGACAGAGGAAGATGTGGAGAGCCTGAAGTCAGTGCCTGGAGTGTATGAAGCATACAAAGGCCTGGGCAGCCTTCAGTTCAGTGTTCTGGCATCTCACCTGCAATAAACTTGGCATTCAAGTAGTGGTACATCCGCATTCAAGTCAGACCTTATGTCTTTTAAGTTGTGCGTTTATTTGAAATACATCAAGTGACAAGCTAAATGTCCTGAGGCACTGAAGGGGTGCACAGTGCACATTGACCCTGTCAAAGTGGCTGAGTTCCAATCGGCACCGCCCTCCTTCCGCCAGGCAGGTGATTTCAACTTTAAGTGGCTATATTGGGTGAATCTAGTTTTGCAAAATACGCACAATTTCCATTCAACCTGCTGAGAGTCAAACTTTATGCAGGGTGGCTGTTGGCAACCCAGTCAAGATTCAAGTCAGTCTGTCATTCCTGCACAGCTCTCACGCTTGTCAGGCCCTAGTGGAACTTCAAGCAGCACATGAAGAAAGCTTCGCCACTTTTGGTAAGCTGCTGGAGAAGGCCAATGGGGCAGCTGGGTCTAGTGGCAGCACTGGCGAGCCCATGCCAGACCCACGCCCAGCACCTCAGGATGATGCTGCGCCCCCCCAGGATCTGCCAGTGGTGAGCAGTGAGGAGGCCCCGAAGATCAAGCATAGCTCCAAGATCGTAGACACTTGGCAGTTCCCAGCCATTCCCATTGTTTTGGTTTTCAGGGTTCAGTGGTGGCTGCCACAAGCAAGTAAACCATACACTCTCAGTAGGAGATGCCACAACTGGCAAGGACAGCAAGGCATTTCCTACGGTGACGATCCACATGTCAGAGAACGGTGCCATGTACATCCACTCAGAGAATGACACTTGCTTGCTGAAAGCAGTCAATTTGCTTTTTGTCTTACTCACAGCTTCAACATGGTTAAGTGTTTTATGTCCCATGATCTTGGACTAGCCAGGATGCCATGCTGACACGTGGCACGCGCCTGGCAAGTGTTGGAGCAGGCCGGATCACAGAGATGGGCAAGGGTGCAGTCAAGCTGACCTTTGAGGAGAAGGCCGATCGCACCTGGATGCTTTGCCAGGCTAGCTGCGCAGGTTTACATTTTATGTTTTCCTTTGTTCTCCACTAAGGAGGCAAAACATATTGTGCATTTGGCCTCAGAATCCAGCCTGCCAAGGATGGAGGTGTCTAGTGGCGCTGGCCCAGACGATGACCAGCCCAAGAGGGGCACTGTGTACACAGTGACTCACTTTCTGAAAGCTGGCCTTTTTAGCTTTTTAGGAGTCAGTTTTTTTTGTGCTGTGGCAGTTTGGTGGAATATTCAAAGTTTCAACCTCTGAGCAAGAAAGGTGATGAAATCATTGCAGAAGAACTCTGCAAGCCATGAGATGGCTATGACAGGCAATCAGGGGTGAACAAGTGATACAGCAACTGCATCAGGGTTCTGCTGGGTGCCGGAGATCCAGGACGCACCCGGAGAACCCTCTTACCGAGACTCCGCGACATGCGGCAAATGGAGCAGGCCAGGTCGATCAAGAGTTCAACAAGCTCCTCTAAGGAGCTTCTTTGAATTGCCAGGATGGGCTCTTGAAAACTAACACCAGCTGAGGCGCACGCTAAGAGATCTGGCATCGAAATGCCTTCCTTCCTGCCTGCGCGGGAAGGAGGAAATTCAGCCACAGGTCTTGGCCCTCGTCGGCTGGGGGCCCAGTTCGGATAAAGACTAAGCACCGGGAGCTAGCGAAGCCCCTGACGCATTCCATTTGGGCGAGGTAAAAGGTCCTGCAGGGACTGTTCATTGGTGACTTGTCGTGTTTGCTCCACGCTTCCGAAGCATGCTGCTAGAGAATGCCTCAAACACAGTTGAATGTTTTCTCCGCTTGCTACCAAGCAGTGCCCTGATCAATCTTCAAACGTTTGATTTGGGTGTGTCCTTTTGAGAGATAACCACTCTTGTGGGTTTTCTCCAAGGGACGACGCCTTCCAGCTGGTTCTTCGCCATGACCTTGCGCCGGTGCTCGCCATTCGCCACTGCATGGACACGTAAGCAGTCATTGGTGCGTGGTCAACAAGCCCGGTTCCCTTACGTTCCAATCATGGCAGAGACATCCCCAATTCACATAAGACATAAGGACGTAATCAGGGGCAAACAGCCACCCCCCCTCCCCATAGCCCCCTTAAAGGCCCATTTTGGGTTCCCCACATTTCTGAGAACAAAACCCAAGCGGCAACCCAAATCCATCATCCCGCCTCCACCAGCTCCCGGTGGTTGTTGGTGAGGCTCTTCAGCACCAAGCCGATGCTCACCTCCACGGAGCGCCGTCAACGTCTTCCACATTAGATATGAGCGTGCACTTGCGAATAAATGTGTGTATAGCTATATGCATGCGTATCTGAATCGTCATGTTTGAGGTTATATTGATATGTGTAATTGTGTGTTATTATTACTATTAGTATTATTATTATTATTATTATTATTATTATTATTATTATTATTATTATTATTCATAATGTATTAGTATTATTATTATTATTATTATTGTTATTATTATTATTATTATTATTATTATTATTATTATTATTATTGTTATTATTATTATTATTCATGATCATTAATTATTATTATCATTATTATTAGCAATTAATTATAATTAGTGTTACTATTGTTATTATTATTACTACTTCTATTATTATTATTATTAATTGTTATTATCATTATTATTGTTATTAGTAGTAATTAATTATACTTATTGTTACTATTGTTATTATTATTATTATTACTATTTCATTATTAGTGTTAAACATAATTATTATTATCGATACTATTATTGTTACTAATACTATTATTATTTACCGAGATATATATATATATAAATACAAATATATATATATATATATACACCATTGTGTGTATACACGTATGCATATGGATGTTATGTGTATGCAAATGTATATATAGAGTGGGATGTTCCGTACACAAGCAAATCAAGAAAAATATACCGCCAGTCATACTGCGGCAATCTGCCATCTATCCCCGTTGAAGGGGCTCTGAAATCCCAAAGACGTGTCTACAAAAGGTGTGCCTTGGATGCCACCTCCACAGTGAAGGGGTCACACCAACTCGGCCTCAGATCAAAATGTAGCCGTGCGCAGCACGACACATCCCTGGCTCCTTGCTGCTCTTCTATCGCTGTTCTATAGATTGGCGTTCTGTAGCAGTGTCCTGTGTTGCTCTTGCTGTTGTTCAGCTTCTGTGGGTCAGGGCTTCATCCCAGTGGCAAAAAACATCAGCCAAAAGGATGTTTTGAGCACCCTTGCTGAAATAGTTTCCAGGGAAACCAAAAGGAAACAGCCATGTTGGAGATCCCCCCTTTCTGGAGAAAAGATAAACAAAGGCATGCTGCTTGGCCATCATCTCAGTGGAATGTTCTCTGTGCAATGCTTCTGCAAGGACATTGCCGCAGTTGCATCGTTGAAGTTGCATTGCATGTATCGGTGTGTGTGTGTGTGTTGCTGCTTTGTGTTGCTGTTCTGTGGCCTTAATATAGTAAATCATGAAATAGGTTGGTGCAATTCCTAGCAGTAGCAGCTAAGCAGCACATCAAGGCCAGTGTCATAAAAAGAACCGAAATAACCCTCGCATGGATGGACCTTTCTTGAAAGCAGGTCAACATGAAACCATGGTCCCCAACAGCAACACATGCTTGCTCGGTCTGCCATCACTCTGAATCAACCCAATTGATGGAGCAATGAAATTGGCACGAGAGACCCAACTTACACGCTCAGTTCATCCAGCAGCAAGGCTCAGCCACATGTCATATGACTTCCTGTTGCCCAACTGCACTATCATGTGAAAATCTGTGGGAGGCCTGAGCCCACGTCCCTCCCAACCCAAAGGCTGGACTGTTTGACCCAACTTCACATCCGGGCGCCGCCACATGTCAGGAAACTTGCCCCGTAGCTCGAGATCATAGCCTCGCCATGGAGGGGCAGGGAAGGGCGGGTAAGGAACAATGTGTCCAAAGCACAAGGAAATGTCCTGCAATATGAGTGTTGCTTTTTAAGCGACCCAAACAAATTGTGGTGTTCCCTTTTGGCTTCCCTTGTAAACCACCAAGAAGCGGTACCCTCAAGAAAAACCAGCATATGAGGAGCTTGCGGCTGCGAGCGCGCTCCGGTTCTGTTGAGCCATCAAAGCCCTCATGAAGGGCTCATGGGTGATCCAAAGCTTTCAATTCGTTTTCCAGCCCAGATGCTTTCGCCAGTGTGGACCTCCTCCCTGCAGAAGTTGAAATCCTCGGAATGCTGGAGTCCCACCTCTGCATGGCCTAGACAAACGACAAACAGAATGAAAGTTCAGAAAGAACCCAAACAGCAGCAACCTTCCATGTATAGCTGGCAAGCCAAAAGGGCGCGGATCAGCTTTCGCTTCCCCCCTGTCCTTCAGCATGTCATTGCTCCAAAGCAGCGGTGCCCAAAGATGGTCAACCTGAGACCCCCCGCGACCGCCTCTCTCAGCCGCACTCTTGGCCAGACTTCCGGGACCGTCGCAGCAAAAAATAATTGGAAACGCAAGGTGAGTTGAGTCTAGTGAACCTTACCTGTCGGCTGTTGGCAGAACGACGATGCCTCGCGTTGCTTGTGGGTCCAAAAAGTCACCTCCGGAGTCTTGCCATCAGCACACTGGTTCAATGAGGCCTCGAGCAACTCAGCTCGGTGGGCAAGCCTTCGAACACAAATCTGCCGATCCTGGCACGGCACGTGTTTCTCGCGCTGCCACCTGCCAACTTTCTCCGGTCCCCTTTGGCTGCCCTTCAAACCTATGGTACCCGAGGACCTGACTCTCGGTTTTCCTTTAAAAACCCCCCCAAAAAAAAAGAAGAAAAAAAACGGAGCAGGTGCGTTGCGCAAGGGCTCCCAACTCCCGGACTCCCGGACTCTCGGGCCCCGGGCGGAGGCCACGAGCCGCACGTTGGGATCCCTGGCCAACGCGCTTAAAGCCGCCTGGTGCGCCGGCGCCAGCTCCTGCCGAAAGGACGAGGCCCGGTACCCCGAAGTGTTGAGGGAAACCAAAAAAAACTGCGAAGGTACCCATTTTCAGAAGGGGTGCTGGGATGTTAGCGCAACGAATACCATGGTTTCGTGAAGATTGCCCAAATTGATTGCCCAAATTTGCCACAGTGGCAGAAAACACAAAACTCCTGACGTTCAGGTGGGATTCCGGGGGAACCCTCTGATGATGTTGTGTGAAAATACCCACTAATGGGTCCATGACCATCCCGAAGCCCAAGTAAAAGGCTTTTTTGACCACACACTCAGGGTCTAAAATAACATTGTATGAATCATAACGTGGGGGATATTGGTAAACATGAAACTGGAGGCCAGAAGGGGCGGACCATACTAGACAAAGATCAAAAGTGCAAGGGATCAAGAAAGACCTAGTCCAAAAAGAAACTTGGAGCTCACATTTGATGGGAATCGACGCGCAAGGTACCAAGGCTCCTCCACGTTGTGCACGACGAGCACCAAGGGCGCCTGCAGAACCTCCAAAACACCAGGGAGCCAGGGCTACTAATTCAGCCTGCCGTTCTCGTAATGTGAGAATGAGTGTCTGGTGCTTTTGGGAAAGGTGAGTTGCCCCATACCATAGACTCACATTGTAACGGAACAGGTGGTGAATTGCACATCTAGAACATGTGTGCAAATCTCCAGCCAAGATCCTCTGAGGTCTCATTGATTCTTATTGAATCCACAGATCTAGAAGGGCATCAAGCAGCCTCCGAGCCGCGGGGGGGATTGTACGGACTTCGCGAGAACTTAGGTGTCCAACAATCACGCAAGCTGACGATCGCAAGTTGTGTCCACTTCCATTGCAAGAATGATCTCGCAATACAAGGGCATTCCCCGCAGGCGGGCTTCAGTCAGAGCAACTTCCGGGCTTCCTGCTGCAAGCACGGCGGCGACGAGGCCGTCCAAGGAGGCTGCCCCTGGTAGCTTGGGCCCCAAAGCTACCGCAAAGACTCTTAGAGGGAGGCACTCTGCGCACGGGAAGTGAAGAAAAATATGACACGAAAGCAAAGGGTGGCAAAGGTCCAGGCGTCCCAAGAATTTCCCCTTGACAAAAAGATGATAGGCAAAGGCACAGGGACGGATGTTCGCTCCATGGAACCCTCCGCGGGATGGTCTGGCAGCCTTCCCGCAGATCGTCTCGCCGAGTGCAGATGCACTCACGTGCGCGGTCTTGTTTTGCAACACACAAAAGGAATCCTTGTTCACTGTTGCATCAAACATCAATCCAAGTCTTCAATGGTCGGCGTTCAAGTACAAGTTTCGGTGCTACTGACGGCGAAATGGGAAGAGGGGAGAAGTCCTGGGAACATGCATAAGCAGCTACCGCTTCGACAAGACCAAAAGTAGTGCTCTTTCAAGCACAAGTTTGTGCTGTGCACGTGACACCGTGGTGTCGACGTCGTTCTACTGGCATCGGTGTAAGTTGAACCTCAACTGTTTGGATATTTGGTGATATGTTGGGCTTTAAAATCTGGTTTGGATTTGGACACTGGAGTGCTACGGTATCTTCAAATCCGAATGACTAGGGGCTGCATTCTTGTCGATGACTTCCTCATCTGCATAATTGTTTGAGCTGCTTATTTGGGTCTCTGGCAGTTTTCAAAATACCAAAAGTTGTGTAGAGACAACAGATTTCCTGTAGTGACTTTAGTGACTACCACAACTGGAAAATGGCGCGACGCGATACATGTATACAGGTAAATCAAGCCGGATCTGTTCCGTCTGCTCATGAGACGTCGAAAAGGTCTTCAGAAACTCAACAAAATAAGTAGCAAGCCTGTTTCTTCCGCCAGTGGGTGTGGATATGTCTTGGGAAGTGTTCAGGCGGCAGGATCACTACAAAGGGAAAATGGAGATGTCTAACCCTGACAAATTGGTTACATGGTGGTTCTATGAGTTATATATATATATATATATACTCGCCAGTTCCCCCTTGAGGGAGGTCACGGGGCTGGGTCCCTGAAAAACCCCCGAGCCGCGCCTCGGTGCTGGTTCTGGTACGCCAGCAGCTGGCGCAGGAAGGCGGGCAGCGTGGCGTGGGCGTCGAAGGCGTCCAGGCAGGCCACGTCCCAAGCCGGGCGCAGGGACTGCCGAGGCATGCGAGGAACCGGAACCCCAAAACTGAGGCACTGGTCTCCTGGGATTTTCCTTGAAACCCCAAAACAAAGGCCAAACCAAAGGCCATGGGGTTAATGGAAGCCAATTAGACACCAAGCCCATTTTGAGGTCCCCTACTTTTTAACACAGGCCCCCGTTGTGCTTCTCCACTGATTCCTTGCGAACCCCGGACAAAAAACAAGGTGTTTCGAATCTTGGAGCCCGAAAACAGGACCTTGGGGGCTTTGGGACTTGGGACTCTGCAGCAAACATTCGCCCAGTGAAAAGGAAGACAAAAGTAGCTCTGGAGTCTCCAATGACCCTTTAAAATGTCTTGACTCCAGGTATGCATTTGTTCGTCCCTTCTGGGTTGGCCAAAACCATGGAAGGCAGCTCAAAATGAGTCTCCAAACCACGGCTACCATGGCAAGCACGCAGTTCATAGTCAAAACCCTGGAGACAGAAGAGAAGACGTTCTTGAGCCGAGGATGCGGGGGTTGCAAGCACATGCCCTCCTCACCCAAGCTCCTCTTCCGCATGTTGGAATTGATCAGAACAAGCTCCGGTTGTGTCAACCACAAAACATGTTGATTCCATCCAATGCTCACACCATCACTGACGGTCACGTCAAAATGGGAAGCCGCCCAGTGTCACCTGATTGGATCTCCTGCAAGCCACAAAACGACCATCACACATCGAATCTGGTCTCTTACAGTTTTGGCGCAGGGCGCCGTTGACCAAAGTGGGGAACTCTGACAAGGCCCTTGTAAAAGGAACAAACCGTACCACGTGCAAATCTCGCTTCCGAGACGCAGTTGACCAAACCGCAGTTGATCAAACCGCGGTTTGACCTGTCTTTTGTCGGGGTGCGTCCTGTGACATAAACCAACCATTTGGGTTTCAAAATCGGGATGCCTTCCAAAATGATTTGCTTGCTTGATGGCATCCCTTTCAACCAACCCACAATAGGTAATTGCCACCCATTCGGAATGGCGTCGGCTCGCCCAAGCCACTTCGACGCCGCGCCAGCGACGCGCCTCTGCAAAGGCTTCCAGCAGCTGCCACTTTGAGCCCACGCCCTCATGGGGAAAGGGCCCCAAAAAGCCAAGCCACACTCAACTTCAGCCCAAGCCCAGCATGTGGCCACATGCCATTCAAGTCCGAGCTGCATAGGCGCTGCAATCAGCCACCGGATCTGTCTGTGAAACTGCGTGCCTTCCCGAGCCTCAAAAAGCAGGGAGAAGCCCATCTTGAGTCGTCGCAGCCACTGGTCCTGACAGCCAATCGGCCACATGAGATGCAAATCGGCTGCAAGAAGACAAGTGCGGAGCAAAGGTTGAAGTAAGGCAGCACACACCCGCCTTGCGACACAACTCTGCGGGGATCAAGTATTCAAAGCAAGGTCCTTGATATACAATAATGAGAAATCATTATCTGATGTGCGAAGCATTCGCCCGGCACGGGTGCGAGAAATCACCTTTGGCCGAAGCTGAACGTGGCAACTAACACTAGCTGTATGCTGCCACCGCAACAATCCAAAGATCCCGCCCCCGATGTTGCTACACGGCCTCAAAGCCTTTGGGGCCCAAAAGGATAAGAGGAAGGCCATCCTGATCCGCCAGCACTTCGAACACGAAACCCCCGAAAGAACGGACGCGCTCCTCGCTGAACGTGGCAAGGGCTGCAACATGAATCTGCTTGCAAGCAAAACCAAGGGTTCCGCCTTGGTTGGCCGCATGTTGTTGGCTCTGTTTGGCTGGTGACCAGTCCATTTCGCTTTACCAACCCATCGGAATCGTGCTGCCCCGCCCAACCCCGGACACCCACGCACCTTTGAGGCAGCCACTATCTCGGTCACACCTCAGGACGGCAAAACGAGCATGCTGAGAGCGGCGCTCTGGATCGGCTTGAAGGGCGCTCAACTAGCTCCATTCTGTCTTCCAACAAAGTAGCTATGCACCGGGACCATGTAAGAGTGTCCCCGTGTGGCTCGCTCCTATCAGAAAGTGTTGCAGAGTGGATCAAAGCATAGCGTCCTTCCTTCTTCTGCGGCCAACTCTTGACTTACCACTCAAACGGGCACAAACATGGCAACTATCGAAGGGCAACGAGTGGATTCAGCACCTGCCAAATTGCTGAATGGCAATGGATGCATGTCCCAAACTCTGCTCGGTACCTTCGATGCTGGCCATATGTATTCCACAAGAACGTCAAATGCAGGGCTAGGGCTGCATGTGCAGGCGCTGGCACAATGCGGAACAATGCGTGAAGCGCGCACCCCTTCAGATGCACTATGCGCCGAGTTTTGGCCACCAAGGATGTTAGGTTGCACGAACCTTTTGCACCGAGCAAGGGATGGTATCTCTGGACCAAGATCCATGGCACTTCAGTGCTGTAGATTTCTAGAAGTTTTTTGGCTCGTGAACATACCCCCATTGCAGCTAGTGCAACGAGCTGAAACTGTGCAAAAGGAATTCCCACGAGCCCAACTGCCCAATACAAACCTCATTGATGGGCATCCCGCAGTTTGCCTCGGAACTGAGGTCACCCTGACTGCTCCATCCTTTTGGGACCACCGGACATGGTCTTCAAAGCTAAGAGATAGTCATAGATAGTCACTGGTCACAAAGGCCCTTCACCCGTAACGAAAATGGAAAAGCTGAGCGCTACGAACTGAACGGGCGTGTTCTCACTGGACTCACTGGGCTGGGAGTACCTCGGTACCTCGGTCCCCGTAGGCGCCGAGCTCTTCTTCGGCTGCTCTCGCGCCTGAAGGCTCGCCGGCAAATGGATTTACATCCCGCCAAAACGAAGCTCATAGTTGGGCAACGGAAAAATATAGGCAAGGAACCTGCTGATTCCCTTAGACTAAGAGGCCTTCCCAATCGCAACAAACTGGTTTAAGTGTTTGCAACTATGCCTTTCGAACAGTGGAGAACGAAGGGCTTGATGACAGGGAATGCTTGCGGCACAAGAAGGGATCCTTCGCCTGCAAGGTCGCTATACTTTGCTCCGGCGAGTTGGCACATTCCGTGGTTCAACCACAAGGGCAAGCCAAGCAGTCACACGTCCTTGAATTTCTCATGTGACAGGGGCCAGTGCCCCGCTCTGCCCAGGTGCCGTCCATCCGCTCAATTCAGGTCTGATGCCTCTACCGTAACCAAAACCCATTTGGGAGGACGCCAAACGCTGGCCCCCTCACGACACTACTACACTAATCCAAAGTCATGCCTCCCATGGAGGACTCGCTCTAGAATCCAAAAGCAGCGACCAAATAAGCTTCAACTGCCTCTGCCGGCAAGGTTTAGTTGGCCGTGTTCGAACTTGTGAAATGCATCTGGCAGGATCAGCCGACGTGCAAGCCCGGCCCCGCCCCCTGCACCAAAAACAATTACTCCAAATTGCCAGCAGCTGCAAGCTGGAACGCAGGAAAATCAGCGTTGTTTTCTCTCTTAACAGCGGATCTATCTGAACCGGAGGGCGTGATCTATCTGAACCGGATAATTTTACCATGTTATTTTGTCCCTCCCATGGCCCTGGACAAACTTCTCAGGACGGCCAACCCAAATTCGCCCGGAGCCTGATGCAGAGCCATCCCAAATCATGCACGCTACTTTAACCAAACTTTCTAGAACTCAGACGTCCCCAACCCACTGCGCTTAACCCCACCTTGACGCTGGAAAGCAGCTCTGAGATGCGCTCCAGGTCTGGAATCCTCTGGCAATTCGACCCCTGGCTGTGACATGTTTAAACCATGCAGGGTTGGTTCCCTTTCGTGCTTGGTTTCCCTTCAAAGCAGACCGGCGGCTGGATGTTTAAACATACTTGTGCCCAACCCTGGTCAGCCGGCTCGGGCGCCGCACAGCTTTTGCTTTTTGAGCATCCACTCGTGGGACGCGTGGGCCCATTCTAAGGAGACCCAGTTGGTGGGATTACTTTCCAGTTTCGGGGCAGCCCAGCAAATACGTCTTTCGCGAGTCAGTTCCCACCACCTCGCTGGCTCAACTCTACCGGTTTAGGGTCCGACGGTCCCACTGTTCTAGCACCCCGTCCGTTCACGATCCCAACCAGATCAGAAATGTGCATAGTGACTGGGCTGAGAGGGGGTTGGTGCAAAAAAACGCTGGCCCCGTCTAGACAGCAGGCCGTGCCACCAGAACGGATGAACCACACCCTATGGCTTCGCCACCACAAGAGATGCGAGCCTTCAGCTTTCAACACCCGGTGATTAGACACACTATCAAACGGCGGCAAAGGATGTGTGCCCTTCCAAACACCTGGCGCTGGCAGAAAACTGGCATGCCCCCAAATGAGACCTAGTCTTCAGAACTCAACTGCCCTGTGGCGAGGGAAGTGCCCTGCAGGAAGGCTGCTCAAACATACCCATCTTGCGCCTCGCGGTGCCAGGAGAGACCCAGAAGTCCTGCCACTTGCAGATGAAACCCTGGTTTGTGCAAAGCTCCAAGGCTCCTAGAGTCCCATCCTCTGATTTAAAGCAACTCTTCCAGAGCCTGGGTAGCCATGTTGCCCTGCGCTCACAATCCCTTGACGAATCTTGCCCAAAGGGTGCCTCATCCAATATTTGCAGTGTCAACAAAAATGGCTTGGTAAATGCATGCCGCGAAACCAGCCATGGAGTTCGCAGAATCCATGCCATAGCAATTCTAAACGCGCCGAGAAAAGCCCTTCTCTACCTATAGCAATCGCGCGGCGTTTGTGTTGCAAAGAAAATCTTAGATAGAGTGGATGCACACCGATGCGAGCATGGATCATGAACCACTGGGCTAGTGGCATCTGGTCAGGACATCGCCAGCGCCAAGGCTCAAAAAGTGTCAAATCTCAACAAGCAAGGTTCATTTGCCCTTCTCATGAATGCTCTCGCTTGCTCGAATCAAGAGACCTGCACGACCGAGCATGAACGCAGCGAACAAGTGGCAATGGGACACTCCTGGCCTCACAGAGCCCAACTCCCGCTGCCCCTTGCGGCCCTTTTAATGTCCGGCACAAAAGGCCATGGCCTCGCTTCAGACGACGCGGACGCCGGCGTTTATGGCAGGCGCTCTGCCCGTTGCACCAGGCGCTGCAGCACCGGATGCGTCCCCTTCTCCGGCAGATTGGCCGCTAGGTCCTCTGCCAGCGCCCGCGCCCCAGCTCCGTCCTCCGCCAGCACGTGCGCCTAGGGGACGACACATGCACCCATCACGTGGTTGAGTGCTTATTTAAATTAAAAAAAAAAAAAAAAAAAAAAAAAAAAACCTAGCGCCCTCTTGTTGACCTGCTAGGCCACAGCCCCGCCTCCAGCAACTTGCAGTAGGCAAGGGCATCCGGCTGGCAGCCCGCCGCTTGCATGTCCTCGAAAACCTGGCGAAAGCCCTCCCCCCCCCCCCTTGATTTGCACATGTCCTTCTGGAGCCGCTCGTTTCTTCCCAGTTTGGACAGATCAACGGAGCCAATCCAACGGCAACGCAAGTCACCTTGCCCAAAGGCTATGGGCTGTCAGTAATGGGCCTTTCTGGTCGCAGCGAGGTCGTTGCGATAGCAGGCCAGCAGCGCAGTCCAGTCCGCCAGCGTGGGGCACTCCCCGTACTGTGGCATCAGGTCAAACACGCCTCGGATACGTTCGGATAGTGATTTTCTTCATTGGACTCGGCTGAAAATGGCAGAGGTGTCTTTTTGGCTTCGTACCGAAGTGGGGGTCCGCCATAGACTTGGAGCGCCCTGGCCGGGAAAAAAATTGAGAATGCAGGCATGACCCCGTCGAACATTTACTGCTTAAATATCCGTGGTAACGGTGTTTTTTCTTTCAGTTGCCCAACGAACCAACCAACCAACCAACCAACCAACCAACCAACCAACCAACCAACCAACCAACCAACCAACCAACCAGCCCTAGCAAAAACCAGCCCTAGGAAAAAAAAAAAAAATAAAAATAAAAGAAGAAAAACAACGGATCCAATATCCGTTGCCCAAGAAAAATGCTTGTAAAAGGGGTGTTCGATCACCACGGTGCATAATCAGCACACGCGGATAAGCACCCTTCAAATACGAAGACTTCGGCCCGCACACAAGGAACCCGATGCCCAAAAACGCCTTGTCCCCCCCAAAAAAAACAAATGGAGGGGAAAATTGGTTCCATACTTCTGGGCACGTCCCATGTTCCCACATGCAAACGACGGTACACAACATTTGCCGGGTATCCCTGCGCAGTCTCGGCTAAGGCGTCTCTTGCGCAAGCGCTGATCAAAGCGTTGAAGTGTTTCCTATTGGGCCGAACGTCCTAGGCGCGGAGGTGCCAATTGAACCCCGGCTCATTTGCGTGGATGTGAACCCTCGACATTAAGATGATGTGGACCCAGGGCTGAAAGACATGTGCTGACTCTGCCATGACCTGACGGTCCTTCGCCAGCATGTCAACGAACACCTCGCGTGCACCAGCATACTCTCCCAACTTCGCATGCCCGGTCATCAACGTCAAGAAGCAGCGCTCCTCCAAAGGCCAGGGCAAAAACAAAGAATGCAAGGGTGATGATTCATTGGGGAATGCTGGCCATGCAAGCTCTGGTTGCTCCTTTGGATAGTTTGTTGTTCGACAAGGGGGCAGAACAAAGGCACCAGCCCTCCCAGCTAGAATTGTGTGGCTTGGTGGGTACACATGCCAGGAACCTCATTGTGCAAGCGCTCGCGCAGCGCTCGCTCACTCGTCCTTGTCTCTGAGTTCGGCTTCTTCAAAGGCCTGCTTCGGGACGCGCTGGAAAAGGTCCTCCAGAGCCAGAACACGTCCATCAAGTATGGGGATGCTCGTGGCTCCCTCAAAACAAAAGCGAAAATTGTTGTCCACAAGGTCTCAACTGAATGCCCCTCCGCGTTCCAGTATTTCCAAATGTGTGTATATATACATATATACATATACTCAGCCAAGGTCAGCCGCGCTTCACAGAGACAAGGAACTAATGGCCCAAAACCGTTCTGGCTGCCTCATAAGGTACAACATCTTCTGCTCCCTCAGTCCTTGGCCTTGTCAATGTTGCCACTCTGCCCGTATGCATTCATGATGCTGGTGTATGCCTGGCCATCGCTTGCTTATCATCCCGGCTGAAATGTTCAGGGCAGGGGGGCATCCTCCCTCCCTATAACAAGGTCACGGTTCTCTTGGCAAGCCATAGCATCCTCCGCAGATTCGTCACCATCATTTGTAATGAACTGTGCACCAACGTTGTAGCGCGAAAAGCGTGGTGCCAAAGTGAAGCGCTTCTCAGAATCCCAATTGTATGCCATGCTCTCAGTCACATTTCTCGGGCGTTCAAGCAGAGGCTCAGAGTTTACTATCGGCTAGGGCTGACACAACAAAAGAACCAACTACTAAGAAAGAACTCGGAGCGAACGCAAAGAATGGCCGCCAATGGCCAACGTGTGATTTGTCCCTTTGGTTTCCCCTTTCAAAGCACCCCAATATGGCTACCCTCAAAACATATCCAGACTGTCACGATATGCGGCTCTCGCAATGGACCTGAAAAGATTTGTGTGAATTGAATATGCTCTCCATGTGTCGAATCCTAAATAGACATCAGGAGATTCGCTCCCAGCGAAGCCTTTGCATGTCTTTTACTTGGTGCCAAGTTGGAACAAGAGGGCCCCCCAGCCGAGAGGATACACCAATTCCTTCCAGGAAGCCGGGAGGTCCAGCTCCACATTCCTGGACTCCATCTCCTCGTAGAGCTCCTCGGCCTCGCGAAGCCGCCGGCTGTAGCCCAATATGTTGATCATGATGCAGTATGGGATCACGTCCTCGGTGCCGACAAGGCGGATGTCATCGCATAGGAACCCAAGATTCGCAAACTGCTGGTTTCTGTGGGTGTCCCCTTTAAGAGGAACCCTTCACTTGGGAAACACACCCATTCAGCTTGCTTTGATCAGCGTTGGATAGGCTTCCAAAAACACACCTGGTGTGCCACCACCACGCAACGGGCCAGCTGGGCTAGAATTGAGCTGCTTAGAACGCCTCAAGAGGCCCTCGCAACCGCCTCGCTGTCGCCGAACGGCGCGGACCCTTTGGAGCAAACCCGTCCAACGGACGCCAAATCCTCATTCAACGCTTGCGGAACTCCCGAAGTCAAAAAGTCAAGCTGTGAAAAACGACTTGTCGGATGCAATTCCCAGCCCTCCCGTCCAAGCCACTCGCTCCTCCACAGGAAACTTCTCCCAAATCTCCTTGGCCTCCTCGAGCCAGTTGGCCTTCTGGCAAATGGTAAGGGCCATGGTATGGACCAACGGGTTCGGCTCCTGAGCGCAAGTTCGGGGAAGTCAGGCAATCCTATGCCAGGCGTATTGATAGGTGATGCAGCCCAAAATCTCAAAGGGTGACTTCCAAACCTCCTCCCAAACCGATCTGCTCCATCCCCATCTCTCCAACTTGGTCTTTCCTTTGGTGTCGTTTCAAATTCCAGCCCCCCATACGCTACGATGCTTTTCACTCTTGCTTCGGGTCCAAAAGCACCTCAAATAGCACCCCCAACTGCATGCCCGCCACCCTGCCATTTCTCGCAAATCACCTTCCCCTCTTTAGAAGTTAGAACCCCTATAGATAGCCTATAGCTATCTGGGGATTCTTTTTTGGCCTCGACTAAAAATGGTCGGAAACAAACATCCCCCCGCCCACCCCCCTTTTTCCCCTCCCCCTCACCTGGATGGTGGGATAGATATCCAGGGCCTCCCGCAACCGCCCCTCCCGCTGCAACCGCTGCATCTCCGCGCAGCTTTGCTTGGTGTCCTCCGAGGCCTCGAAGCTCCTGTTCTTGCTGCGCCTCGGACTCGGACTCTGTGGGAGCTCCTCGCAAAGTGAAACTGGAAGATGCTTGAAGACTCCTCATTCTTTTTCAGGATTTGTTCCGTTCTGCTTCCCTTTGCCATTTTGAGAAAAGGTGTGTTTGAGGGGATTCTCTGTATTGCGTAAAGGGAAACCGAAATGAAAACAACAAGTGTTGGGGTCACCCTCTGTTTGCCACATACCTAAACTAGTGGGAACATGTGGACACTTTTCTGACACCTAGAAACTATGATTGGGGCAAAGTTATCCTTGTGCTACCCTCCCCTCCCAAAAAATATGGGACCGCACCAGAACCCTCCTTTTTGTCTTCCAAAAGAGGTCTGTGCACTTCAATGTTTGTTTGGAGGGTAGTTTGGCCGACACCTCTTGCTGAAACATTTTGCATATGCTCACATGCATAGGCGCAGGGGTCGTTGGGGTGGTGATGACAAACAAACGAATAAACCCCATATGACCTGATAGCGAGGGGGGGGGGAGGCGGGGAAATGCAGCCTACCTTGGCCCAGTACAACACCAGCTAATTGAACGGCCGAGCTTCGCCAAGTGCCCATGTTCGATTCTCTCGCCTGTGGAACGTGTGCGTTTGTCTCCAACTAGAAGACCCCTCAGAATGAATCCCTTGGCCTCTCTTTCAGACCCCGAAACTGAATCCCCGGAACCAAAAGAGAAACCGATGCCATGTTTAGGGTCCAAATCCCTACTCTGACATGTCGCCTCCGCTCCTCCCGCTCTGGCTTCAGCTCCCAGCTGCTGTGGCGCGCTCCAAGCCGCCCACTCAGCGCTAAGAACTTCGCAGTGGGCGCGCAGGCGCGAAGCAAAGCCCGCGGCGCCCGCGACAGAACGGACAGCATGGCCGTCAAATTCACGTTACGTGAATGTCGGGGTTGCTTGCTTGCTTGCTTGCTTGCTTGCTTGCTTGCTTGCTTGCTTGCTTGCTTGCTTGCTTGCTTGCTTGCTTGCTTGCTTGCTTGCTTGCTTGCTTGCTTGCTTGCTTGCTTGCTTGCTTGCTTGCTTGCTTGCTTGCTTGCTTGCTTGCTTGCTTGCCGGCTAGGCTAGTTCTAAGGAGGCAGTTCTCTTTATGGATATTGAAGATGTGCACTCGTTTAGGTTCCATTTGTCTGAAATTTGAGAGGAGTCGAATGAGCCAAAACCTGCTCGATGAGAGCAGCACTCAACCCAACATCTAGTCCAAGCAAATGCACCAGTATGCGTAACACCCAGAGCGGCTTTCACTTTCCGGCTATTTGTCATCACAGCCAGCGCACCACACCGCTCCTCTCCGAAGCACTCGGGCAGCTCTGCGCGCGAATTCCCGGGCGCCTGGGCAATGAATAGCCTTTATCCAGCGCCGAAGTGCATCTGAGTCGTGCACTCCCAACGAATTATTGCAACACAACACACCGACATGTCAGGCTGGTCAAGTGTTCGACACTTCCTGCTGCTGCATTAGGCATCCTCTCCTGTTTGATCACTACTTCTCACTACCTGGTTTACGCCCGCAATGCCCTGGTTCCCAAATCACCTTGCTGCTTCCTGTTGTCGGATCCCTGCACGCAAACCCAATGGACCCGCAACGATGACGCCTCCATCTCCTCAATTCCGTGCAAGTCCAGGGCCAACACCAAGGTGGTCGTGTTACAGAATATTCTCGAGTTTACTCTCGGCTTTTACATATGTTTGGCTCGGACTCTAGTTCGACTTCGTTGAGATCAGAATGCTACGTTTGGATTCGGGTTCTTCAACGTCGCAAACTGCCAACAAACCCACTGGACCCGACTAGGTCTTAGTCGGCCTATTTGGAGTTTGTTCGGGCTCTTGTCGGCATTAGGCTTGTCTCTGAGACAATGATTCGCGAAGCGACAATCAGGGAACCTCGCCGGGTCCCATGAAAAGCTCCCGCCTTCTTTCGTGCCCGGCGGGCGACGTGTCCAGCGGCTTTGCCGACTGACAGAGTCGGGGCGACAAGTGGACATGAAAAGGAAGATCAAAACAAGTCCCTTCGGCAGCGCAAACATGTTGCAAATGTCAAACAAAGTGTACACAAAATTAAAATAGACAAAAACATCTATGGGAGCGCACAACTCCATAAACGGCAAAGGAGATCCTCCAACTCGTTCATGTGGTCCCTTATTTCCACAGTTGGTGTCTAGAGAGTATTTTCATACAACTGGGCTGCCCTCAGATCTCCCGCTAAAAGTTTAACTTTTAGTGGGTTATATGGAAACTACCACTAAACACTAAAAGGCTAAAAAGCTAAGGAACCGAATGGCTGGGATCCACCGAGACAAGTATACATGCAGTGCTGGCGAATCATGATCAGGCCACCATCTGAAGCAGAGGCCAGGGCTAGAGGGTGGATCTTGCCCTGTTTCACGCAGGAAAGGGGACCTCAAGCTTCTGGTATCCAACATGTTTTGGGATCTGGCTGCATTTGAAAGGGACCAACAAAGTCCAAAAGTCGGGATTTCAGAAAGACTTGTCGCGCCTGCGTCTGGCTGTGACGCAACAGGCGGCTGCTTCGGCGCGTTCCCTCGCAAGCGGGAGAAAACCAAATCGGGCGGGTTTCCACGAGTGCGGTGCTGGGTGTAAACGCTTGGGTTTTTGTTCGCACCACTAGTTGAAATCAGAATCCTGGTGTGTTAGAAGACATGCCTTCCTCCACTTGCGTCAAGCTCCGTATGTAAGGAAGGCAAGGAAGGGTGGCAGCCATACTTTGCTTTGTGCAGACTCGCCTGAATCTCAAACCTCTTCTTCCTGCTCTTGTCTTCCCAACATAAGAATCTAGGACCCAATAGGACTGAATCAAGGCCCTACTTGGAGGAATCCGGCGGTTGGATCCCAAATCTGCTGTCGTGCCTGCGCCTTGCCCTGGACAGACCTGTCGAAACAAAATGCAAGAATCCGAGGACGGACGCGCGTTTCAAGCCAGCAACACAACCTTTTAGGTATCTCTGGTGTCGAAAGGATCCAGTTTGTTGCGCTTCCTTCTGGCTGAGATCCGCTGGAATCGATTGGAATCTGCGCCCTTTTGCACCCCTTGCAAAGCTACTTCTGCAACTCGCCGTACGCGTGGTGACAACCCAAGCGTGCCTGTGTATTGGGCGCCATCTTGACAACAGTCAGACACAGGCTTCGTGTCAGGCTGGCAATGTTTGGGATGCAATATCGAATGCCCTTTAAGTTGGACTCATTTTACTAACCTTGATGCTGGACCAACTTGAGGTAAAAGGGATATCAACTTGCTGAACGTGAACCTTCTGACGGCTCAATAGCACCTGACACCCTGTCTTGTTGCTGTCGGCTGCAGGACCCCACCGATGTTTTGACGTTGCAAATCGACAAGCCAGGTGTGCGCAAAAAATTTGTCAACTCGGCTCACACATGTCACTTTGTACGGGCGAAACCAAACTTGAGTCCCGCCTACTTTCGGGCAAACGTGTTTTTTTTTTAAATCACGCGAGGTCATAGCCCGAAGCTTGGCATTTGGCGGTACCGGCTGCCGCTTCAAATGAGATTTTTGAGTCTTACAAAGTTGAACCATGCAAGGCAAATGTACTGTCCATGTGTTGTTATGTCCAATGCAGTGCCTTTCTGCATCAGACAAGCGACAAAAGGCCAAACAATTCGTGAATTCGTCAGCCACCAAGCCTTTTGTTACCTTGCATGAAACAAAGACTGGCGCGAGGAGACTGCACAACACAGAAAAACCAACCAGCTAGGAAATATGTGAAAATCATGAAGACCGCCGCTTCCTCATGAAGTGCCACGTCTCCTGATCAAAGCGGTGATCGCTGCTCACCAAATGCTCAGTTCACAGCTGCGCCGACTCTAGCGCGCAAATCGCGCAACCCAACGTTGACAAAAAGGCCTCAAACTTCGACCTTCGGTGCTGAACACGCAGCTCCCGAATCACCATGTTTTGCACAAAAAATGTCTTGCTCGCTGAATTCTCTGACTTGCGACCACATGTTTCGCGCGCTCAAAGGCCTCGTTGGTCTTGGGTTGGCTTTGGACCGTGCAAAGTGAATCTCGCACCCAAAGCGCCGGACCGACACTTGATCGTACCCTGGCCGGGCAAACTTCCAAACATTCTCACACATGTCCAGAACTCGAAGTAGCCCTTGTTTGGCGGACACCCCTTTCAGGTTGGTTCCAATCCATGAATTTGCGCGAATTTGCAGAGTACCCCCAGTGGAGGCTTGCACTCCTAGATGAATCAAGCCCCTTCTTTCGCCAAGTTGCAATCTAGATAGAATTCTGTTCACTGCTTCAAGCCCAGAGGGGACCAGTGATAAAAACGGGGGGAGGAACTCACAACACGATCGGCCGAATCGCCCTGCTCCTTTTTATTTGGCGTTGCTCTGAAGTCCAGGCTAACAACGCGTATTCAACCTGTTCACTGGGTGTGTTACCCAGGGGTGTGAAACACAACTGGAGGTATTGTGGCATTCAAGCAGCAATGCGTGCAGCTTGTGTGCGAAAAAAGAAGATTGCGTCCTCAAAGGATAAGACCCTTGCTGGTCCTGTGATGTTGCGCCTCACACGAAGCAATGCGTGCAGCTGAGGAATGCGTCCTCACGCATCGGACTGAGTCCGTAGAAACATGCCGGAGGAAGGCGTGCGGCTCAATCAGTAGTAAGGAAAGACTGCCTATACTACCCTATTCTTTTTCGGATTTTGGTCCCCAAACCCTGCAAAACAGCCAAATTCTCCAACCTGCTGAACGTTTTTCCGATGTCACCGGTCTTTGTCACCACTCCGTTTTTGGTGCAAAAAGCGCTGAAAACGGCGAACTCCGAAAAGTGCGTTTTTTCGTGTCCGGCGTCGAAAGTGGTGCCTGGGCCTCCAAATTCGCTCGTTTTCCTCCGAAAACCGGTTCCATGCGTTCGCCGTGCTCCGAAATCCGTTTTCTGGCCCGAAAAGCCTGCGAATTCCAGCCCGCTGAGCTCGTCACCGCTTGTCACCGCTTTGTCACCGCTCGCTTTTTGGGTGCAAAAGTGCGCAAAACCGGGCCCAGTTCTCTCCGCAGGGTTTTTTGGCGGCCCGGCAGCCCCCGAGGACCTGGCTCGGAGCCCGACAGCCTGCCGAGGTTTTCCATGTAACACGTCAGCCTACTGAACTAGTCACCGCCGATGTCACCGGTGTCTAACACGTCAGCCCGCCGAGGTACCGGGGTGGAATCGAACCTCCGAAACGTCGCTCCGGAGACCAACGCCTAAGCCATCTCACCATCGGCTCTTGTTACCGTCCCAAAACGCGCTTTTTGGCCCAAAACGGCGCTTTTTGGCCCAAAAACGGTCTCACCGCGATGTCACCGCTTCGTCACCGCTCTCTTTGGGGCCGAAAAGTGCGCAAAAGCGCCCCAGTTCTCGAGAGGACTCGGTTCTTGGCAAGTTTGAGTCAATAATGGAACCGGGTGATTCATCAATGACTCATGAAAGGGCAAGGTTGGTTCATGAATGGGCAAGGTTGGTTCATGAATGGGCAAGTTCATGAATGGACAAGGTTGGCTCATGAATGCCCCGCAGGTCATAGCCGCTGAGACAAGTGTCCTTTGCCGGTCTCGTCATGAGGCCGAGGTGTCCCAAGCGTTTTGACCGACGCCATCGGTCAATTCATCAGAGGTCTCGCTTCATGCCCAGTGTCCGACGCCATCGGACACTGCGTCATTCCACACTTCGCGTACTGGTAGGGGCTGTTGCGAGTTGATATGTAATTATACCACCCTGCGCTACGAAGGCCCCGAATGACCCATAGCGACTCAAGTGAGGGCGCGTTGCGAAAGTACAACACCCCATTGTTACGAATTCGTGACTACTCCTAAGAAAACATGTTTGAAGGACCTGTCACGGGCAACATCCCGGAGGTCCTGGACAACGGAGAGGTGACTGACGGCACGCACGTCACAGCAGGACAGCTGGCCCTCGCTCTGACGCCCTACGCTCAAGTAACTGACCTGGCGGTGAACACGGCAGCCTCCGGCAACAACGCCGCTGCCATCCAGTCCCTGGACGACCGAGTCACCGCCGAGCTGGCCTCAAAGCTGGACAGCAGCGCGCTGGCGCCGGCAATTGCGCCCCTAGCAACGGCGGCGGCCCTGGCCACCACGGACGGCCAGGTGGCCGCGCACGGAAGCAGCATCGCCGCGCTGCAGAGCTCGCTGACCACGGGTCTCTCCAACAAGGCAGACCAGTCGGCCTTCGACGTGCTGGAGGGCGTGGTGGCCACGAAGAGCACCCCGGACAGCGTGGACCTGAAGCTGTCCAACTACAGCACCACGGCGGCCATGAACGGCTCCATCGCCTCGGCCAACAACGCCACGCTGGCCACGGTGGCCGCCAACTACGGCCTCAAGACGGTGGTGGGCCAGCACTCCCTAGACATAGCGGCGAGGATCACGCCGCTGGAGGTGGACACCAAGGTGGCCAACGCTCTCCTGGGGGCCGTCACCGCCGCGGCGCTGGCCTCCGAGCTCGCGAGCCGAGACGCCTCCATCTCGGGGCTGCAGGCCTCCAAGGCAGACGCCAGCGATCTGACTGCTTACGCCCTGCAGTCGGCCGTGGACACTTCCTCGGCGGTGGACTCTAAGATAGCGACAGCCCTCTTGGACGCTGTCACCACGGCAGCCCTGGACGCCGCCCTCCTCGGCAAGGCGGACGCAAGCGCGCTGGCCTCCCTGCTCTCCACGGTGGACGGGTTGGACACGCCGCTGGAGGTAGACACCAAGATAGCAAATGCCCTGCTGGGTCTCGCCACCGAGGCCTTCGTCGCAGCGCAGCTTGCTAGCCGGGACGCCAGCATCACGGCGCTCCAGGGGGCCAAGGCCGACGCGACGCTGCTGGCCTCATACGCCACGAACGCCGCGCTCTCGGCCAGCGAGACCACGCTCCAGAGCGCCCTCGACGCAATCCTCGCGGAGCTCGCCGCCCTGCAGCTTTCCGGCAGCGGCGGAGTTGTTAACGCGCCGGCCTGGGCGGGCTTCACGACTTGGGAGCTCGTTCGCGGAAGTAACGTCGTTCGCAACCTGCATCTGGGGGCTCCTCTGCTGCGCTGGCCAACGGCGACGACACGCTGAGCATCACGGCAGACTGCTACTCCACGGCGGGCACTGACGCCGCTATAACAGCGGCCTTGCTGGCCTACTACACCTCGGCGCAGGTGGACGCGCTGTTGGGAGACTACCGCACAGGGGCAGCGCAGGACGCGGAGACGACCAGCGCCATCACAGCCGCGCTGCTGGCCTACTACACCTCGGCGCAGGTAGACGCGCTGTTGGGAGACTACCGCACGGCAAGCGCGCAGGACACGCAGACGCAGGCCGCCATCGCGGGCGCGCTGCTGGCCTACCGGACGGGCCCGGACCAGGACGTCTTCACAACCAACCAAATCACCTCGGCGCTGGTGGCGCACCGCTCAGCCGCAGACCAGGACACGGCAACGGCCTCGAGCATCGCAGCCGCGCTGCTCAGCTACTACACCATCGCACAAGTAGACGGCCTCCTTGCCGGCAAGCTCGGAGTCACGGAGGCGGCCTCGGCGCTGCAGATAGCAGTGCGCTTTCCGGACGACGGAGGGGCCGACGAGGTGGTGGCCGCCATAGGAGAGCAGATCCTGGGCCCCACGGACGTCTCGCTGTCAAACTGGACGGTTCGCCCCAGCAGCGGCTGCAGCGTGGTCCTGGCCACGCACACCGCGGGAGTGAGCGTGGACGGCTACACCCTGACCCTGGCGGTGAACCCGTGGAACATCGTGCGCACCTACAACTTGACCCCGGGCCGAGAGCTCCTCTTCGCCTGCCGGTACCGGATGACGGCAGGCCCACAGTGCTCGGCCATATCATGAATAATAGTGGCAGCAGCGCCTTCCTGTGTCTTCGCA